AAATGAAATTGCCATATCAGCAGCGTGATGCAGCCGCATGTACATACGTACCTTCTGCGCACAGCCAAAATGCGCGACCGGATGTCTGAGTCATTGAGAGGTAACGAAGCGGATTGTCAACCAGGACATGGCTTCTTGGATGTCGGCAGTTATATGTAGAATGATAAACATGATTAGCGAGCTATTCTCTTAGGAATTACTGACTGCGTGCTGCATTGAGACGGCAGCTATATGCATGTGTTGAGTTTGGCAGTGTTGAGTGCACATGAATCAAGCTGCACACCGGTAAGTTGGGTTCGAGATTGGCTGCGGCAGGAGGGGTGCTCACCCTCTGTGAATTGCCTTCGGTGGAATCACCCTAAACGGCTATGGAGCAGCGCTTATCGGCGATTCTGCGTAGGGATTTATGTTCTTTCCATTGGACCCGGGAGTGAGCCAGGTGAGTATCAAGGGCAGGTGCTCATGAGATGTTGAAGGGAAGTCTACGGTATGATGACTTGAAGCATTTGAAGCAGATAGACTCTGTGGAAGATGTGGTGGCTAGTAAAGCACGCCAGGTTCCCGTATCCTCTACACTACAGGATGATGTTGGACTTGATGACAAGTCCTAGAAGGTCCTAGAAGACGTCAAGCGCTGGAGTGTCAGGTTACCCTGAACCTTATAAGGCTTAAGCTCGATAGACCTAAACCCTAAACCCCGCAAGGTTTTTGCAGTCAAGCCGCGCCGTCTGTCACCCGAAGTCTCTTGGTGTTGAAGTCACTCCGAATGCCAGACCGACACCCTTCTTCGTGGGGGCAGCTTGGAGGCAGATCCTCGAAGAGATGCCTCCGCTTGCCCAGTCTGCCGGATCAAATTTGTGGCTGGCGCGGTTAGGGAAGCGTGGGCTGTGAAGCTAAAGCACTTTTGATCGTGCAACCATGAGCGCAAGTTCAGGTCGAGGTATCGATGCAACGATCCTGTTAGTTTGGTAGGATAGAGGTTTAGCTGCGTGCTGCGGAGGTGACTCTCACCCCACCCGTCAACGTCGATGAGGTTGATGCCGGGATCGTCGTTGTGGCAGGCAGTGATATGATGCATGAATTTTACACCGAAGCAGAAGTGTGTGCCGGCAGACTTGAAAAGCCGATCGGGGAATCCTGCCGAGACGTGATAACCTGGAAGAAAAAAAGGTCTGGGGTGGACGGATTCCGTTCTGAGTCAGTAAGACCCTGAGTGAACAGCACCTTGTAGTCTAGACTGGGTCCATATGTTGTCGTCCTTCATCAAATCTTGAGTAGCATCACAAGCACTACTGAAGCTGTATTATCTTGCGCTTATGGTAATGAGCAAGATTGGCACGGGTATCAGTTGCGGAGTGTTCGTTTGGTATATTGACTTACATCAGAGTACTCATATAAGACAAACAAACCGGTCACATTTTACGTAAAGGTTCCTGGCTCATATATATATATATACATATATATATACATATATATATATATATCTGTGGGTGTGTGTGTGTGTTTATATGTATACCTATATAGAAATATATGTATACATGTCTCGCTCTCGCGACCTGTCTATCCATACACCCATGTACACACAGCAACCCACATACACAACATAATTATATGTGCCATACACATACCGTGCATGAAAATACGTATACGGTCTGTAAGGGTGTGTATGTGTATACATATATACACAGGTGTTACGGCTGTGAGGGTGTTATAAGAAGGGTCCTAAGGAGGGGTGGATGTAGAGCGGCCGTCATCATTCGAACAGGGTTCTGGGATGGTATATTGCTATGAGTAGAAGACACAGAAGGTATGATGCTAAATACAAATATTATAGACGTCCTGGCAGCGGCCAATTTCAGGAACATCCCCTGCGACCTCATGAGCTTCAAGAGCGTACGCTCTGCCGCCGAGAAATTGCAAGCAGAGCTTGGGCAAAGCGGGCTCGACGTCCTCTGCAACAACGCAGGCATCGCTTTTTGGGCCCTAAACTTACACCCTAAACCCCTTGAGCTCCAAACCCCCCAACTCCCCTCAACAAAACAAGGCGCAAACCTGGAGGATCAAAACTATGCGCGAGACACCTTGTAAAGCCTATGTCTTACAACTTCAGGCTAGCCTCATTTGATGGTGGTCCGCGAATAGGAGCAAAAATCGTCAGAGCGCAGCCAAAAGAGCTGCCTACATCTAGCACACTCCCTAAACTCAGTCCGAACCCTCAAAGAACCGAGATTTCAGCTTTAAAAATGTTTAAAAAGATTTTTGTAGAACCCCGAAAAGGCATTATGGGCTTCGGTGACAAAGCCACTGAAGACGGCTGTGACGTGCAGATGCAGACGAATCATCTCTCCCACTTCCTCCTGACATGCCTGTGCATCTCAGCTCTCTTTCAGGGCGCACCTGAACCCCAAAGAACGTACCCTTGTGAGGACTTATTAAATTATTAGTTAAAACGGGAAATTAGAACAAGGAGCCCCAAAAAATGTAGGTTTCTTGGGGTCCGGTATGGTTTAAGAAAGAAGTTGAAGGTGTGTTTAGAGATCAGGGCGTGGGATTCCGCAAGCACCACGAAACCAGCATCCCCATGCTTTGAAGGACTTCTTAAGCCCGAAATCCCCAAGTTAGGGTCGAGGGTTTAGGGGATTCCCAGCTGATTGGCAGAGTCTGGGTTCAAAAAGGGGTTTAGGGTTTTACCATCATAAACCCCAGACTGAGCCCCAAGGTTGTCTCAAAGCCTAAGCCGTTGAAACCCCCAAGCCCCAAAACCTTCGAACCCGTAAAATCCAAACTCAGCACCGGCAACAAGGCATCTTAAACCCCAGCCCAAACATCCTTCAACACGTTGACCCCGAAGCCCCAAGGCCCCTCATCCCTAATGAAGGGGCCTTGCAAGTAGAATGAGGTTGTTCACGCTATTTTTGCATAGCCTGGTTAAAACAAGGACCCCTTAGGAAGAATCTTGGCAGCGCTTCAGGCTTCTACATTAGCTGGGCCCAAAAGCTTCGGCATGCTCCTAAACTGGTCCTAAACCCCTGAACCCCTAAAGCCCTAAACCCCTAACTGTGTGGAGCCTTGCCTGCCTGGTGCGAGTGTGAGAGTCGAAACCCCTAACCCCTAAACCCACAAGCTGCGTTCCCTCTCAGGTATGCCCCTTCTCGAGAAGGCGGCATCTCTGCGCGGCGAGGCCGGGGGCGGCGGGAATCTGGCGCAAAGCCGAGTTGCATTGCTTCTGAATCCTTAACGGGTTTAGGGGTTAGGGTTGACCTCGTTCAAAGAAGAGGGCTTTGGGATAGAAGCCTACTGAACCCGACACTGGGAGGGCTTAGGGTCTCTTATGTGTGCGGATAGAATTATTGTCGCCATGAAGTCTTGACAGGAGTATCACAGAGCTCTGATTTGTTTCTGCCTGTTGCTACTCTTTGTGGGTTGCAAGAATAAGGATATTCGAGCATGATGATGGTCGTTGTGAGAAATATGGTGTCGACTGCATATGCCTCACGAGCAACCCCGTCTGCTGTCAGTCATCATGGAGGATTTCCGCAGACCAGTATCTGGAACAATGCGCTCAACTCTCGTCCCTTGAGAAAATCGCTCTGAAACTTTAGGGTGTAGGGTTTACGTACACATCCTTGTTTCACCCACCTATAAACCCCTTCAAAGACTTGAAGTTGTGTTTTCTGGCTCGACTCAACAATTCCAGTGATGGGCTTGAAGGGTGCTCGCCATCCTAAGCTCTTGAGGGATCTGTTTAGTTTCCCGTGTGATCCCGGACCATTCAGGATCCTACTATTTAGGGTTTGTTTGCGGGTCCTCTGTCTCTGAAACTCCCAGAAACATGAGACCCTTCAACCCTCAACCCCAAAAGCCGTAGCCGCAGCTTGCCTCTTGTTGCGACCCCCCAAACCGAATACCAGAAAAGAAAAAAAAACAAGCAAAACCCTAAACCCTAAGACTTCTGTCCCTTAGACTACGCTAAAGCCTAAACCCCCTAAGCCCCTGACGCTTTTGAGAAATTCCTAAGCCCGAAACCCGGGCCTTGGAAGGCGCGCGTGGTCAACCACTCCAGCGCCGCCCGCGCGATGGATGGAATCGACAACAAGCTCCAGGAGGGACGTATATGATATTTGGTCGTTTAGAGGATCAGGGGACTTGGTACGTAAGAAGATTATGAGTCGGGCCATGCGTAGGAGAACCTCACATTAGGGCACGTATCACTCTACTTGCACCCAAATCGTAGTAACGTCGTAGTATCTGTAATTTACAGACACCCAGGAGAGGACCTGTAGTATTGCAGACATGGTTCCTTTCATGAATCCCTACATGAGGACGCATGATGTGACATGCACGGGATGGCGCCGTGCGAGTTCTGATTCGAGGTCGCCCAGTAAGACCCTCTCATCCTGTTATTTTGAGGTCTCTAGTTGACCCTTTATTTGAAGGGGGGTTACTGGGGAACTAAGCGAGTTTGGGAGGGTCTGGCCGTGCAGCGGCGGTTTTGGGAGGTTCGGGGAGCAAGATCTCGGTCCGAATGCCTTGTCTTTTATTAGGAGCTTTGGAGTCGATGCATTCAGCCGCTTGAGCCACGTAAAGCGATCACAGGACTTCGCGAATGGCTTTACAAGAAGGGTGGTCTGCAGGGTGACCCCAGTTAGGGAACTTACAAGGTCACTAAGTCCCCTGAAAATTCCAATTGCAGCTGCTGCATTCTGTGGGTGAGGAGAAGTACCTGGGAAAGAATGGTGGAAATCTGGGTGGTGACAGCGACACCATGTTCAAGGGCGCGAACTTCGAACGTTACCAACAGAGCAAGCTTGCCAACGTGGCCCCTTTGCCTCAATGGGTCCGCATCCTTCCCTAAAGATTTCGATAGCCGCAGCCCTTCGGCCAGACAAAACTCATCTCAAATGGACGAGATTTCCCCCTAAAAACAATGGGCCCGAAGGCCCAAGCCCAAAAGGCCCCCAAACCTTAGATCCAAAGAGGCAGCAAAAATGGATCCCTAAAGCAGAAGCCTCTGAAGCCCTGGGCCGAAGAAGCCCTGAGCCCTCAAAGCTGTGTCCTTCAACATGGCACCGGTAGCCCCGGTAGCCCAGGCTTTCACCTATGCCCTCCACGATCGCCTCCAAAAGGCGGGTTCCAAGGTCACGAGCCGAGTGATCTCTTCTATAGGCCGCAGAAGGGAGGAATAAAATCGCTAGTGAGGAATAAAATCGTTATAGGATTTTGTTGATGGCTTTACGGCGTTCTATTAAGTTTCGGTGTTCAGGCTGCTCGTTTCGATAGGTCCCGGAGCGAGGCTTGCTTGGGTTTGGGCGGATGTTGTCTTGCTGGTCTCTGAAGGGAAACATCAGAACCCCGGAATGCAGAATGTGGGGATACATTCGTCTCCAAAGACAAAAGAGCACTAAGGTCAAGAGCCTAGTGGCCCACCCGGGCGTCGCTGCGACTGAGCAACTCTGTCCGAAAAGGGGTTGATTTACGTAAAATGATTATGTAAGCACGTAAGCATGTGTGTGTGTGATGTGTGTGTGTGTGTGTTTGTTTGGTTGTTTGCTTGTTTTGGTGTGTTTGTTTGTTTGTTTGTTTGTTTGTTTGTTTGTTTTTGCGTGTTTGTTTGTTTGTTTTGTTTGTGTGGTTCTGTGTTTGTATGTTTGTACGTGTGTGCCAAGTGTCTGTGTGTGTGTGCACGGATGTGTCTGCTCGCGTGCATGAGCAAGTGCATTAATGTGCAGGTATGTATGTATGTATGTATGTATCTATGTATCTATGTATCTATGTATGTATCTATGTATGTATCTGTCTATCGATGTATGTAGGAATGTATGTATGTATGCACAAGTGCAGGCGTTACTCCCCGAACAGTGTGGTAACACTCCGGGGGGTCCGTCCGTTCTATTTAAAGAGGTCTAATAGGTCATCTGCACTCCCGTGGGTATCGTGTCGCGTGCCCAAAGTCCAAGACGCCATTCGCCTCCTCCGGGCTCCTGGATACGGTCCCAACACTCCTCCCGTCTTTAGGAGCTGAGCAATTCAGCACGTGTCGTGCTCTTGTCAAATTGCCGTGCGTATTTTGGAGTGCACTTCGCCCTCCTACCACACTCCGTGAGTGTCCACCGCACAAAATTGCTCTCTCGCCACGGTGCAGTGCACGTCTGGGCTCTGACTTTTGCTTCCGCCTCCAAAATCGTGCTTGGGGATGGCTACACCTACGTGCTAGATGTACACGTGCATGTATATGCAGCATACGTATGTATGTATGTATGTACGTACGTACGTATATACATAGCATATGTCTGTACTCTTTAAGGCCCACGCAGGCCGCTGAAGCTTCTCAACTGTATCCACTTCTCCGAGGCTGGCCCAGGGCACCGTCCAAGCAGGAGGTGCCAACGACTTCGGCAGCGCTCCCAAGTGGATCAGCGACCGAGCCAAAAGAAGGGTTCAGGATTTCCAGGATGTAGAAGTGTTTTGTAAGGGGTCTACACGGGTTGTATCTGGGTGGGGGTTACGAGGGTTTCAGGAGTTTGGGTATAGGTTCAAGAGTCGCTGTTAGTACTTGGTGTTGCGGGCAAGGGGTCTAGGTTTTGGGTTTAGAGGCTGGATGGCATGTCATGAGGGCATGTGCGCAGCAGCCCCTCCTCAAAAAAAGATACAGAGATACATGGGTAGATAGACAGACAGAGAGTCAGATAGATAGATAAATGGATGGATGGATAGATAGATACATAGATAGATACATACGTAGCTACATAGATAGCTACATAGATAGGTACATAGATAGATAGATAAATAGATAGAGAAAGATAGATAGATAGATAGATAGATAGAGAATCGTATATGTATAATATCAACTATAACCTGTACACACCTCCGCATGCATCATTGCTTCTGATCCACATCAGATTCTCAGCTTCGAGGCAAAGGAATGATCAGCTTCATGGGCCAGTCGGAGGAGGATGCCACCCGGCTCAGCGCTCTCGTTTTTGGGGATCCCGGAGAGTCGGAGAGTGGATTTTAGTACCGGGGGTGGTGAGGAACATGATTCTTGGAACGTGGCGGCCTTCGTCTGATATCTGCTCTTACAGTACAGCTGAGGCCACTGTTGGAATTCTGCGGAATGCGTGCGACCCGGAAGCCAAGTCGGGCGAGTTCTTTGGCCCTTTGGGAAAAGGCGCGTGGGACTTTAGGGGGAGCTTAAGGCGCTTTCGGGTTGAGGGCTTGCGCGGGTCGCCCTAAAACCCGAAACCCTCGCCTGGCATGTCCGAGTTGTGAGAGCCTAAGCCGCCTACCGTTTACCGTTTCGGATTTTGAGCTGACGGCCCTCACTGCATGGCGTTGGGTTTAGGCCATCTTCTGCTTCTGACGTCTGGTTCGTGTAAGGGTCACCTGTCCCAAAATGCTTATTTAGGGGGGGGGGGGCTTTATACAGAAACAACAAAGGATCCTACTAGTTAGGGTGCTATATTAGGGTCCCTTATTTTCGGAAACCCCCATCTAGGGGCGGGCTTTTTTACAGAAACAAGGGTTGCTCAGACCCTGGCTCGAGGTTCGTTCGTGTGGGGATTTTTTGAAGAGTGAAGCTTTAACTAAACGAGTCCGAGCAGATGAACGGGCCCCTGTGGTTTGCGACTCTTTCTGCTATGACGACGACAAACACGGACTCGATAAAGATACCAAAACCATGGCCAAGCTTGCTAATGAGTTAGACATCGCTGGCAATCCTTAACCTCCTCTCTTTACTGCTACTCCGCGGCTTGCGAGAATTCCAGGCGGTGCCACTGGAACTCACGATCCCTCTGAGTACAACGGACCCGTCGGGCTTCTCAAGAAGGAGCCCGGGGGCGTAGCTGCTTTGCAGGGCTCTGCACAATGAGTCCTATTCCATTGAGGGTTTCTGTTGGGGAGGGGGATCCCTAGTTTCTGAAACTCCCGTGTGGAGTCGATGGTTCAAGACTTGGGTTCTCCAGTTCGTTTGGTGATGAGGCTTTCCCTGCATCGCACATGTGCTATGCCACATGACATGAGGGCTTAAAGAATTACCAATACCATTTCAGGGTTCCCAAGTACAGTTCTAGCGTCATATACCCACCAAACACCCTATACCAAAAATTAAGGGCGGTTTGAGGGGCGTGAAACTAGATGCAAGGTTTTTGAGCCGGAGATATGTGGCCGTGCCATTCCGAGGTCCACCTTAAGAGCAGGAGCTGCTACTTGAGATAGGGCATTACGTCAGTTAACACCTAGGATATAACGGGTCACTTATGATATATAAACTGTAACATCTGGCAGATGGGCTATAAGATATAGCATACAGCAGATCCCATGTAGTGTGTGACATGTACATAGCGTGTCTAAAGGGAAGGGTCTTTTCAGCATAGGTACCACTCCGGCGGCCGGGGCTTCACTGTAAAACCCTGTGAGTTTCAGCTGATGAGCGGCCTTGCATGCCACCTTCTATATGATGCAAGAAGTGGCAAAGGGGCGGTGCGGTGTGTCCTTGTGCTTGTGCCTGCTGAGCTTTCCTATGCGCATGCATGCATACACAAAACGTTCCCGTATGCCTGAATGAGCATCTTGTGTGCTTGTGAGTCAGGTTCCGTCGAAGGCATGCTCGTACGCATTCAAGAAAGGAGTCAGGTACAGCTGGTCAGTCAGTCAGTCAGTCAGTGAGTCTATCAGTTAGTTGGTTACTTGGTGGCTGAGTTTTTGGGACAGGTGCGTGGGTGGGTGGGCGGGTGGGTGGGGCGGGTAGGTAGGTAGGAAGGTAGGTAGATAGGCAGGCAGGCAGGCAGGCAGGCAGGTAGGCAGGTAGGTAGGTAGGTAGAGCAGGGCAGGGCAAGAGGGAGGGAGGTAGGCTCGGTAGGTTTGTAGCTGAGAAGGTAGTTAGGTAGCTAGTGAGTTAGCTACCCAGTCAGTCAGTTGGTTAGTTAGCTAGTACCAGTCTGTTCATGCAACACGCACTCACGAATGCACTTGCGCCTTGCAGCCCTACAAGTGCCTAATGAAGCAGCTGTTTGTCTGGGCTCTCCAATGAGTCATATGATGCCCACCAAACGAAAACTTTCTGTTGCAAGGCCAAGGATTTGTGGATTAGCACTTTGACCGCTCTCATGGGGAAGGGGCTGTTCACCTCTTTAAGACTGTCAGGGCCACATGTTTGACAGTATCCCGGTCAAAGCCCTTGTCATGAAGGGGGGGCGGTCTCTTGATCGGGGCGTTTATGCAAGTCATCTCTCACGACATGGAGGAGCCCCTCGCAGATGAAGTCGCCCAGAACATGCTTTGGGTCGCCAGCGAGGCCTCGGCTGGCAAAGGTCGTTACCTGGGCTTAGGGTTGAGGGAATCGCCCGAATGGCTAGACGTGAGCCCAGTATAAAAAAAAAAAAGGATTCTTGCCTGGGTTGGAGTGCCTTGCTTGGACCCCAAAAAGCGCACATCACCCTTAAATGACGACCCCAAGATTTATAGGATCCTGCCGTAGAAATCTCGCCTGTGCGACATGGTCTTAGGACGCCGTCACGAACGTGGAAAAAGAAACAGAAACAGACGTTCATAAACATAAGTAAGAAAACAATTGTGTATGTCTGTATGTGTATACATGGGTCAGAGCAACGGGCTGACGGACAGCTCTCGAAAGTCGGCCTTGGCTTGAAGCTTTGGGGTTCGCGTGCGATGAGCTCCGCACACCCTCGTGATGCTTTCTTGTTGCACCCTGAATTCATGTGCTGGGCCTAGGCGTGCGTCTGACTCAGGCTCTCTCGCTCGCAAACGAAGAATGTGTATACATGTATAATCATGTATAAAAGTACACACATACTTTGTCACACTGTTTCTGGTCTGGATTATGCATGGCCTAAGCATGCTGCGTGCGCAGGCCTCGACGGGCATCAAGTTCGACGTCTCCAAGCGTTGAACCACGAACAACTGATTTTCGAGTGCAGGGTTTCGGACGGCAGGGTTGGAGAGAGCACTGGCAGAATCAAGCGTTTGTGACCTTGGTGAAGATGTGGCTGAAACTCTGCACACCTCCGAGGGGATATCCGCATGCAGCTGCTTGAGCTGTTCATCCATTTTCCCGCCGGCTTGGGAATCAGGCCTATAATTACTAATTGTCTTGTAGAGTTTTCATGCTTGGTGCCCCTGAGAAAGCATCGGGCAACCCGAGCTACCGAGCTCACGCCTAAAGCCTTGGCAGTGGCAGCTTCAAAGGCAGCTTGCCCCCAGCAGGCGAATCGAAGAGCAGACTCGGAGAAAGCGCGGTCGAATGGAAGTGGTCGGAAGGGGTTCCTTGAGGGGTTGCTATAAAGGGTTCTATAATACAAGGGCCTGAAAGATGTTAGTAAGGTTTTAGCTTTTGTATGTTTTTTTTCATAAGGGATTTTAAGCACTCGGAAGGCATGAGACTTAGCATTAGAGCTGGAGGGGCTTGGCATGTTGGGGTAGGGGTTCGCCCTGGACATCAGGTCTCTCAACTGTGGCCCGAGCCCTGAAACCGACCTGGGATCCCCTCTCGATTTCGATTTTCAGCAGGACTTGTCGAGCCTGTGTCCTACGGTTAAGGGTTCAGGCTCACATGGTTTAGGGTTCTGGGTTCAAGGCTTCCTTTTTAGGGTGTCGGGCTGAGGGGCGCAATTGCTTGACTTTCGCTTCGAGTCCAGGGATTTTTATCAAGCTCAGGCAAAACCTGCAGCTACGAAACCCATAAAACCCAAACCCGACATCACAACTTCTAAAAATCACGGTTAAGCTCCCCGGAGCCGGCTTCGCGAGATGGTAAAAGTGTTTAGGGGTTTAAGGTTTGGGGTTTTGGGGCTTTGGGTCTAAGGGTTCAGGGTATAAGGGTTTAGGGGGTCAGGGTCGAAGGGCTTAAGGGCTTGTGGCTCAGGCTTTGACAAGGGTTTAGGGTCTAAGACGGTTCCAGACCAAAGGCGAGAACGACAAACACCTTGAGACAGACACCTTGAGATGAAGCTTGTGCTTAAACCCTAAACCCCAAACCCTAAACCCCGTGTAGGGTTTTGGGCTTAGAGTTGCAGTGGACAACACTTTTCCTGAAATTTCAATGGGTCTGTGAAGCAATGCCTTTCGAAAAAGTTCATTCTCTTCAAAGCCATTCAGCTGTCCTAGAGTCCAGACAGTCATCACGCCTCATCTTGTTAAGAAAAGCATGCGGCAATGCGATCGAAGCGAACAATCCCTTTGTTCAAAACGGTTAACAAAGTTTGAACAAAGACTGTACGGCAACACAAAGCATTCAAGACCTAAAGTGGAATTAAGTCTGCAAGCTTAGCTAGAAAACCGTCGCTTCCGTTTTGTTTCTCTTCTTGCTAGCATCATTATCACACCCTAAGCCTTGAACTTTTAGAAGCTGCATTCTGGATCCCTGCTGCCGGGGTAATCGCAACTGGTTTTTGGAGTTTGGGGGAGCTTCGGATGTTAAGTCTGGTCTTTGAGAACTTTGCGAGTCCAACTTGTTGTAATGCAGCTACTTGGAACCCTATAAAATCATAAACTGTTAGGGTTTAGTGGTTCCTAACAGCACTGTTTGCACGCCGCTTCCTACGCCTCGTGCTGCCAGAGCGACCGCGGCGTTGCTCGGTCGCAATACAGGAGACATCCTAGGACCCAAACATAAGGGCTAAGGGAACGAAACAACTACGAACTTTGTCACCCTTCAAGTCGTAGCAGATAGAACCCCAAAGCAGTTATAGTTGTTTCGGCACCTACATTACATCAGCTGTAGTAGGTGGCATTCTAGGGCGCCTGTGGGTGTAGAAACGCAGGAACCACGGCCAGAGGTTGAGGAAAGCAGGGACGTGGCTTTTACATCATCAGCTGGCATTCCCAATACATGAGCTTGCTTTATCTGGATGGTATCCTTCATACTTGAAGACTTTGCGGATGGCCGACTCCTAGTCAATGGCTTGAGTATCCGGCAATATTCCGCTGGAGATTTCAATGTCGTCAATGCCCAGGCATGAAGATCAAGTTGTTTGACCTTGCGCTACGGACTGTAGCCATTTGGGCTCTTGCCTGCTGCGGCTGCTGCCCGCTAGCTACTAGACCGCTTGTTTCCAGGCTTCTTGCCGGCCTCCCCGTCATGATGGCACTGTTGTGGATCATGCTTGCCCTGAGTGCCTGTGACTCCTTTGCAGAGCTTTGCAGTGGTGATGGCATGCCTTCGCAAGGAGACCATTGCTTTTCAGGCAGCTCGGCGGCGGTGCGGTTGAGGATGGCAGGCCAGGCCAAGGGCACAGTCGACACAAAGTTCGTGCAGGCCCTGGATCAAGCCGAGTGCCATGGGCTGACTTTCGATGTGAAGGGCGCTGGGATTGCTGGTAATGTGGGCCAGTGTCCACTGCTTGCCAAGTACGAGGCAAAGTACTGCTCGAACCAGGACAAGCTCGTGGTGAATTTCACGGAGGCCAACCAGAGTGGAGTTTTGAACTTCACAGGAGCCGTCCTTGGCATTGACATGAAGCGGGGCAACTGCAGCGTGCTGTTCCGCAATGTGACCCGAGCAGACGCAAACGAAACTGGCAAGGCAGAGCCAGCGAGCAGCAAGAGCGGCCCGAGCCTGCGGGGTCAAAAAGCCAAGACCGCTTCTGGTCGGGTTTGCTGCGATGACTTTTCCATGCCGAAGCCCTCGCCGTCCTTTGCTGACGCGATGCAGGCAAAGGAGAGGTGCAAGCAGGCTTATGGACTGTGCTCCCACCAGTACATCCACTACCATATTGACAATACGCACGCGCTCCACTGCTTTGGCCGCCACTGCTGGGGTGATTGAGTCTAATTCAGCCCCTAAGAGCCACTGAACGGTCCGGTGGCGGTCTGGGAGGGAACTGCGGGGAGAGGAAGGAGACCTTGAGGCTGGATCGCCACGACGAATTAGATGCGATGGGGCCATAAGGGCCTGCCATATCGCGCACGTTGTAATAAATTAATTTATTAGACTTGTGTGGTCTTGTGAGGGTATCTGTATCCTTCTGAGCCTACTGCCCGTTCCGACAACCTCCAAGCACGACGTAGCCTAACTTCCACAGTACCTCTCCCGTGTTGTCGACGAAGCCGCATGTTTTCGAGCGCTTTCCCCTTAGTATCAATCATTCCATTACCCTTACACCACACCAAACTCCGGTGCTCAAAACAAACAGTTTTAAAGCGGGTAGTAAGGGCCCACGCCCAATAGGAGGTAAGGTCGTATTTTACTGAGGATCCCTGACAGGAGCAGGGTTATGCTGGATTTAACCCGTCAATGAAGCGAAGCACTTTTGAGATGGAACAGAATGCCTCGCCTGGCACATGCAGCAGGAGGCTGCATGCATCGGTCACCACACAACGTCCAAGAATTCCCGTAGCAGCACTGGTTCCACTTCGTCCAAGGAGTCCAAGGATACTTCAGTTCCCCGTTACTATATCAGAACTACAGGTGTCGCTACATGTAAGTATGTGTTACATAGGCACAAAATCTCATGTCATTCCCCTGCAACTCACTGCTGTGCACACTCGCGATTTATGAACATATAGAGTCACTTGTGTTTGGACCCATTGGTCAACTTGTACAGTGAGCTGGCTGCGCCAAGTCGCGGAACCCTCGAAACGGCAGCACGCCCTCGAGAGCTTTGGAAGTGGGGGTTTGCATAGTGCGGCCGTTGGTGCGACTCTTTCTAACTATTTCCTATGCACAACTCGACCACGAGAAACAACTGCGTCTCGGCACAGGAAATGAGCCTGTGATTGTATCCAAGGGTACAAAGGCGGGGGGGCCTTGTCCTTTTTCCGGAGAGTCCAGAGGTGCTCAAGGATGCATGCACGGGGTATACACCAGATCTCAGATATATGGTTTAGGGTTTAGGGTTCCCTGAACCCTGAACCCTAGGTGGTTTAGGATCCCAGGTTTCGGGGCCTCATAGTAGGAGCCCGTGGGTTTTACCTCCGACTATACAGGGGCCATTGTCTGCAAGCCAGGCCTCAACCCTGATATGTTGGTGCTTTCTCCTTTAGTTTCAACAAGGCCGCAGACTACTGACTGTAAACAAAACCAGTGAGCCCCAAAACACTCAATCTTAAGTTTTTGCTGGGCCTGAGAGAGTTGAGTTGTCAGGGCGTGGTACTTGTTTGCTTCCGGTTTGTGCTTTAGGGCTTAACAACCCTAAGCTCTCAACCCGTAAGCCTTAACCTCGATAAGGCTTGGCTTTGACTTTTTTACCGCGTCTTCTTAGCATCACAGCAGCTACTTCCATGAATCTCCAGGCGCACCCCCTACGTCTTGTATGGTTCCATCGAGTAGGGTGGACGGTTTTCCGGGCAGTAGGCCGCCATCTTGAAGCCTGCCTCGTCCCCTCCGTCCCAACAACTTTTGACACGAAGGCCCTGTCTGCCAACGCCAATCCTAGCCAGCATCGAATCCCCAGGTACAGGGAGCTGTCCGGCGCTGAGCTGCTAGCAAGACATGTTTGATTGTTCCAGAAAATCCCCACTCAATAGCGGAGCTGAGCTTGCGACCAGGGGCGCTTGTGGCCTTGGTGAGTGAAGAGGTGGCTGAAACTCTGCACACCTCCACGAGATATCAGCATACAGCTGCTTGAGCTGTTCATCCATTTTCCCAACGGGCTTGGGAATCAGGCCTGTAATTATAATGTTGTCTTGTAGCGGCTACATTGTAGCGTTTTCATGCTTGGTTCCCCTGAGAAAGCCTCGGGCAACCCGAGCTACCGAGCTCACGCCTAAAGCCTTGGCAGTGGCAGCTTCAAAGGCAGCTTGCCCCCTGCAGGCGAATCGAAGAGCAGACTCGGAGAAAGCGCGGTCGAATGGAAGTGGTCATAGTCGGAAGGGGTTCCTTAAGGGGGATCTACGAGGGTTACCACAACGGTTCTAAAATGTTCCATGATACAAGGGCCTGGGTGATGTTAATAAAGTTTTAGTTGTTGTATGCTTAGAATAAGGAACTTTACTCGGAAGGTCGCTTCTACGTAGGACAACCCAAATTGGGGGTTGCACTTATGTCGACATATGACCTAGGTTTCTAGAATGGGTCTTAGAAGGATACAGGGCTGTATGTGGTCCTAGGGTTTGAAGGCAACACGGCCGGCGCGCTGTCGGCAAGCCCTTGTTTACTGATGGTATATTTGTACCCCAAAGCCCGATTCTAATGATTCAGGACCACAATTTTAGGTCCAAGCAGTAAAGCCTTTATGGTACCCTTACAGTATACAACAACAAAAGCCCGACACCCCTAACCCTAAACGGTAAACCCTGAAGCCTGCATCGCCTGTTGCAGGGCCTCTTTGGCATCCCTAGCTATTGGAAGCTTGCATCTCGGAGGCGATCAGGTCTTCTTCGTAGCTGAGTTTAAAAGGGATTATTCAAGGCTTTTGTCGGGCTTATAATATGTGTTGTGTTGTTTTCAGGTTTTGGGGGTTGTCGGGGAAGAGATTTAGGTGTTGCAGTTTCGGCTGCTACACAGTGTCAAAGTGCCAAGCCTATCGAATGAGCTCGAAAGAAGCTGAAAGCACGAAGCACCGCTCACTCGTGACTTGGTCAGAAACACTGTGCTCTCAAGTCGGCGCGGCCTTTTCTGGCCAGAAGTACCTTCTAGCGATGAATAACGTCGGATTTCGTTGTTTGTTCTCACCTCTTTTGCAAGTCGTGTTCAACTCGAGTCTTGCAATGTCCCCACTTCGCCCCGCCGGGTGTGTGCGGGCAATCCCTGCTCTATAACAGTGCCACCAGCAGCTTTCAGGGTTTAGGGGCTATATTGCACTCTGTTATACACGACTGCAATTAACTATGTTGCCCTTCTTTGTACTAAGTCAAAGGACCATGTCACATGAACGCCAAAGCCTCCGCCATGAGCCTAACAAACAAGCCTCTGAAATTGAACCTTAGGGCCCAACAATCCAGACCAAACTGCTTGAAATCCATGTTCAAAATTCAATAGCTCGAGGCCTCAAGCACAACACCTAAAGCTCAAATCCTAAAGCCCCCCCTATGAAACCCTGCAGCCCGGCAGGGAAATCACAAAGGCCCTCAACTTACATCTCCTATGCACCCTAGACCCAAAAGCCCTAGGACCCCCTTTCTTTGAGGTCTTCACGGGACACAGCCTCGGTGCTGCCCTTGCGATCCTGGCCGCCACAATGGCCGAGGCCCGCCGTAGAGGGGTTTCACAGGGTTGAGTGTTCAGGATGTCAGAGTTTCGGGTTGCCTCAAGGAGCCTCAGCTGCAAAAGAGTTTCGGGTTTGGGGTTTAGGGTTCCCGGGCTCACTTTATTCAGACGCCCCCTTGCAAATCAGGCTCCTATCATCTCGGGTTCCTTACACCGTTCCCTCCTTCTCCGAAAACTCGTCTGTTGGGGGCCTTAGGGCTGCGGGTTTGATGAGGTTAAGACTTGGGGTGTCAGGGTTTGGGGTTTGCAGGACAAGTAGGCCTACGTCAGGGCTTGCGATAGGGGCTTTGTGGGGCTTCGAATTCGTTCCAAGGAGTTTTTTCGGGGTTTCAAGCTGGGTAAGCGACTAAACAGCTCTTGGCCTGCCTCACGGGAGGCACAGAATATGGAATTTGAACGGGATTTCGGATAAGGCTTTTCGTAGGGTTAGATTTCGGAGTACGATTTAAGCAGGGTTTTCAGTAATAGAATTAAAGTGTGGCTTTTCAAAGGGGTCGGGTTTCGCAATAGGATGTAAATCTGTTTGGGAACGCCGCCTACATTAGCCTGCATGCCAGTCACGCAGTCTGTGTCGTTACACGCGGCGATGCAAAGACGCATGCAGCGACAAAATGACACCGGTGCGGAGGCATGCACCGAAGCAGCTCAGCGTCGCTGACCAATGCATCACACACACACACACGCACACACGCACACACACAGAGACACACACACACACCACTCGCTCCGCACACGCCCACCGCCCCGCCCTGCCCGCCCCGCCCCAGCCCGACCCATGCACAAGGCCCGCCGCGCCCCACCTGAGGAGAAGCGCTTGAATCAAGAGGGAGAGGGGCAGGGTGTGCCGATGCGGTGGGGGGTGGAAATTCCTAATTCGTTCCCATTGTGTCCCATTCATAAGTTTCTAGGGAATATCTAAAATCCTGTGGTTTGATCGACCGCCGTCATGACCTCCGAAGTTGCCGCTTGTACTTGAAGCCACTGCTTTTCCTAGGTGAGGTCATGATCGTGGACCGGGCCACGAGACGAGACCCCAGAAGTAGAGGATGGCATGCCTTTGAAGGTCCTTTGGTTGGAGCCTAGTCTGTGAGTGTCCCTGATCCTGGGTGCAACGTATAAGGATGCATGAGCCCACATGAAACCGACCTGTAAGAAGCCCTTTCGAACCGAAGTATCCTCGCCTGCATAGTTGCGAGAATCCAAAGCCTGATGCCTCGCCTGGAGTGTCCAAGTCGTGAGCGCCGAAGACCGCCCTCATATATCCTTGCCACGTTCTTGAAAAGCCCTGTGAAGCCCAAAACCCTCTTTTGCAGTGTAAGCCATCAAAGTCCAAGCTCTAAACCCTACGACCCCTGAAGCCCTCTCCCCACAGAAAGAGGCCGAATCCTGGCCTCGCCTCCCCGACGCGGTCATCGCTTTTGCTGCGCCTCGTGTCGGGGACAAAGGGCTCAGCACCTTGGCATCGAGTCATCAGCTTTTTTCTTACATGGGGTGTGTAAAGCAAGGTTCTTTTGGTATGGTTTTGATATGGTTTTGTAAGAGCCCTAAAGAGTTTTCATAGAGTTTAATACGGGGAGTAAAAGATGGACTTGGATCCCGGCTTAGAGCTACCGATGTCG